TGCCCGGTGGGGACTGGCCCCAGCTTGTCCATCCCGGTGGCTCCCCACGGGACGCAAGCCCGTGCCGGCCCTCGCGGCTCTCAAGAGGGTCACGGCGTTCCGCAGCCGGCTCACCGAGTCACACTGTTGTCACTGTGCCTCGTCCCTGCCAGCCCGCGGCGGGGAGCAGGCGGTTGTCGTCACTGGCCACAGCATGGGTCTCGCCTTGCAGAACCGCAACCCCTTGGTGGCCGTCTACTACACCAACCGAGCCCTCTGCTACTTGAAGATGCAGCAGCACGACAAGGCGCTGGCGGACTGCAAACGGGCCCTGGAGCTGGATGGCCAGTCGGTGAAGGCTCACTTCTTCCTGGGCCAGTGCCAGATGGAGATGGAGAACTACGACGAGGCCATCGCCAACCTGCAGAGAGGTGAGCGGGCACAGTGCTGGCATTGCCCCCCGCTGCCTGTCCACTGGGAAAGGGCCAGGGATGGCGAGAGGGAAGCCGGTTGTTGGCTCTGAGATACTGTTTCTCCCCTCCCCCCCAGCCTACAACCTCGCCAAGGAGCAGCGGCTGAATTTTGGGGACGACATCCCCAGTGCGCTGCGCATCGCCAAGAAGAAACGCTGGAACAGCATCGAGGAGAAGCGGATCAACCAAGAGAACGAGCTGCACTCCTACCTGACCAAGCTGATCATGGCGGAGAAGGAGAGGTAACATGGCACCCGTGAAGGCTTTTTTAGCACCACGAAGCTGTTGCAGCTCTGTGCGTGGTGCCTCTGCCTTCTTGGAGGTGCAGGCAGCGCCCCACAGCAGCGGGAAGGGGAGCGATAGGGTCCCTCCTTTGCTTCTGATGTTCCTGCTCTGCCCTAGGGAGCTGGCCGAGTGCCGAAAGACTCAGCAAGAAGAAAACGCGGACGAGAGCCGGAGCCGAGTTCAGCTGGCTGGCATTGAGGCCAAACACGTGAGCAGGAGGGCCAGGGCTGCTCGCAGAGGCTGGGAGAGGAGCCGGGCCTTCCTCACCTCATCCTCATCCTCTGCTGGGGCCAAGGAAGCCGCAGGGCTGTGGCTGTGCAGGCCAAAGCCAGGACACCCCAGGGCGGAGCACGGCTTCTCAGCCTTCATTTTGTGGCTCGAGCTGCTGTTGCAGGACTTTTGTGTCCCCCTGTGATGGCTGTCCCTGCTCTGTCACCCTCTTGTCACAGCCCGTCAGCTCCCCCAGCTGCTGTACCTGTTGTTCTCAGAGGGCTGTGCCACGCAAGTCCCAGCTCAGCCACGTGTGGGTCTGGGTGCTGGCCCAGCACAGGGGACTAATCCCGGGATAAAAATAGCCCCACAAAGGAAGGTTATTTTTAAGCTGGATCACTCCTGCCACACGGTTCAGCCTGGAGCCTTGTGGCCACCGGACGGGGGCTGTGAGGGCAGAGGGACCACTGAGGACCTGTCACCTCCTCTCTGCCTGCCCCAGCACCCGCGGGGTGGGAGGCTTTGGGGCTTTCTCCCTGGGGACCCCTTTTCTTCCTGACCTTCTCTTTCAGGACAAATACCTGGCCGACATGGACGAGCTCTTCTCTCAAGTGGATGAGAAGAGGAAGGTGAGTGCGCCTTGGCCTGTGCTTCCGTCTAGAGTTGCTCACTGTGAACCTGCTTTAGGCCGTGCTGCCACCTCTGTTGCCTTCCCTGCTTCCCCCCCCCCGAGCCAGCGCCACCTCCCAGCCCTCTTTGGTTTGGTGGGGTTTTTTTTGATGCTGGGCTCACCCAGCCCCTCCTGACCCAGCTCTGCTTCTCTTGAGCCAGAAGCGGGACATCCCTGACTACCTGTGCGGAAAGATCAGTTTTGAGCTGATGAGAGAGCCCTGCATCACACCCAGCGGGATCACCTATGACAGGAAGGACATTGAGGAACATCTCCAGGTACTGCCGGGCTGGGGACAGCAGGGGCTTCCCAGGACCTTGCTCGCAGTCTTCCTCCACCCTTCTGCCTGCCCTCCCTGGGCGTGAAGGCAGCTACCTGCCTGACTAAGAGCTCAAAACCTCCTTGGGTTTGGTCCCAGGTACCTGCCCGGGCGGCTCCCTGCAGAGGTGCAGGCAGGCAGGCGGTGGGCGCTGCCTGGCCCTGCCTGAAGTGGAGGCGGCTGTTGGCAGGGGGCCTTGTGCCCTGACCTGCTCTCAGCCTGCTGGGAGGCACCTGCAGAGGGGGGGGAGTTGTCCCTTTGCCCCCCTTCTTCCCTCCCCCGTGGCAGGTGCACGGATGCCTGGCAATCGTGGGGGATGCCGGGCTGCGCCCCGGGGCTGAGGCTGGGCGCGTGGCGTCACCGGCCGACGGCCGTCTCCTCCCTTGCAGCGCGTGGGTCATTTCGATCCGGTGACGCGGAGTCCCCTGACCCAGGACCAGCTGATCCCCAACCTCGCCATGAAGGAGGTGATAGACGCGTTCATCTCGGAGAACG